CTTTCTATCCATCTTATTGTGTCACGACATCTATGAGCCTAACAACGAGTTTATTGATCGAATTGATTGTCCCCCCCCCTCTTGCCAGTGACCCATGTCACCTCCGCTGTTTAGTTGACTAAGCCTTCCCATCATAGATCGATATATGATGACACGTTCTTTCTCGTCCATTGGACCCCGATACGAACACTGGACCACCTGCATCTACTTTCGTGATTCACAAACCAACGTGACCGGTTGGTCGCACGCATGACTGAATTGATGTACACACACACTACGCCAGAACCCACTCATTGCCATTAATCCCATTGGTTGTCTCTTCTCTTCCATTTGATTGGTTCATTGTCGGTCATCCGACCCTCGTGCGTATGTCTCTCTCCCTATTCATTCTGACCGTAGATCTCGATCGATCTGCACGTGTAGACAGTCGTTGAGTTGAACGCCTTGACAGCCATTGAAGGCTCTTTTCGACACAGTAAAACGCTGTCTTTCTCTTGCTGTGCTATAATTTAATCTCCAAGTTTGTATTTATGACGCACTATCGTTCGAATGTGCTTTGGCAGTGTAGGCTCGCAAGCACAAAATTGCCTCACGATTCGAGGTTTGTAACTTGTATTCGTAATCATATTTGTCACAAAAGTATCGCATTTCAAGACAATTTCGTCTTCTGTTGACTTCGGGATTTGCGCGTCACTCGACGGATCACCAGTATGCAATCCATATCACAGAATCTTCTCAAGAGATTCTATAACCGTACAGTACACGGCTGTGCAATTTGGGACCACTCAGTGGCAGCGGCTTTATCAGTCCGGATCGGGCTCATGTGACTACAGGCAAGAAGGCAAATGCAGACAGCTAGTATGCTCGAATATGTTTATCAAGACAAGACTGATTGGACAGACAGCACAAACGGTTGAGACAAAAATATAATCCGGTACGGGAAACAGTCGAACAAAAACCCACATGTAAAAGAATCAGGTAGAAAATTCTCCATGAAAAGACAGAATACACCAGAGAAAACGATCTCACGATAGCGATGAGCGGGGCGGGGCGTAAATCACTATGCATGAGTAAATATGATGACAAGCGTACATGCTTATCGTGTTTGTGTGCGCGCAAGAAAGAGGCCAATGTTCGCTAAAGAATCCACTACAAATGGGTACATGAGAAAGAGAACTAACAGCACAACGTTATAGGGAGGGTGAGAACGGGGACATGGAACGCAAAAAGAAAATCGTATATCACAGCACGCTCACAGGACCACACACACCGATCACAAATTATGCCTTCAGGAAGACGTCCGACCAGATTGCATTTGAGCTTTGATGGCGGCCAGCTGTTCCGTAACCTGTGGTCCAGAAAAACCGGGTAGAGAGATGAACAGTTTGCGGCACGAATCTATGTGCTACATAGATAACCTACACTTTTTATGAACCAAACCAATTCGGTTCATAGTGAGAGCAATGTTCAATACTTCATTGAATGAATTTAGTGGTATTTCACTTGTGATCGGGGCATTCTTGAAAGCAAGCCAGAGAAAGAACTGGTTTTTCATTCCGTATTAAGCAGAACAAGAGAAGCATTGCATAGGCCATTCACTTTTAAATAATCCAGACTGTATGCAACCCTATAGGTATAACACGGTTCTCCATTAGTCCATGCACTTTCCAGGTGCTATCAGTAAATGCTCGCCCTTTTGCAATTATCTTTTGACTAAAATTGTTAAGGAAACGTCTAGTGGGTCATGATCCAGTGATAGTCTGGCAGACAGAACAGTCAACCTTCGGCTATGTCGCAACCGGGAGAAGTCGCATTTTCCAATATGTTCACACTGCTTAGCCAACCCAAACCGACTGTATGTGTAATACTGTAAGCCTGAACTATGCAATGTCGCACTCAACTAATGTCATTTCACCTAGCACGACGCGCACACCGCACACTGATCACATAACTCTTGTGCAAAGTGATGCTACAAGACTGTCGTTTACCTCAGCGCTGATGCTTGGTGGTCAAGAATTAGCTGTTGTGGAATGTTTTACCTACTTAGGTAGCTGCGTGACGAACGACGTTAGCGCATCAAAGGAGATAACCGCCCGCATTTCCAAGGCTCGAGCAGCTTACGCAGGACTGTGAAACCTCTGGTGCAAACGCGATGTTCCGTTGAAACTGAAAGGTCGTATATACTGCGCCAGTGTGCGGTCAGTTCTGTTCTATGGTTGCGAGACCCTGAATCTGCGTGTGGAAGAGATTCGTCGTCTATAAGTGTTCGACTATCGACGTTGACGCAGTTTGGCGTGGTTTGGATGGAGCGAGCTTGTAAGCAACTCTGAGAGGAGGCATCGCGTACTCGGTAGTGATTTGATGAAGAATTCGTTATCCCATCGAATTCAGATTAGTCCGCTTTGTTGGTTAGGACACGTATAGCGCACGTCCAGCCATCATCTGCCGGACTGCGTTCTACTTGCAGTTGCCGCTCCAGGTTGGAATAAACCGCTTGGAGGTCAACAGATGATGTGGAAACGAGGCACGAAGAAATGCACAGAGCGATTAGGTAGAATAGGTGTCTCCCGTCTTCCAGGTTGGGGTCAGAAAGACTCTGCAACTGGCTGGTTGGAGACAATGAAGGATACGGCAGCGAACCGACAGCAGTGGCGTTCTTGTTGTCATTTCTTATCATGTCCGAATGCTTGAGAAGATGTGTGCACACTTAGATTGTGTACTCCATATGTTGACCATAGAGGTTCACTTTCTTTGCCTCCCTCCAATTAGGCCTAATCCCTCTCCATCTTGTGCTTTATCACTTGATTGGTGTACATTGTCAGATTGGCAGCGATCGGTGAAGTTCGCTTCACTGTATCTCACTGCACGATGATGATGATGAACTCTTGTGAAGAAGGCACACACAGCAGTCAAATGCGGCATCATTTGCCAAGACAATGCGCAATCACCTATCGCAGAGAAGCAGAATATGTTGGAGATGTTGAATTATTTAAGTGAAATTTAGAGCTCTGTAGCAAAATCACTTGGTATCTCAAACAGATCACTCAATGTATCCATGCTATAGATGGCGAAGACCCAACCTGCAATTATGATCGTTAAACATTACATCGATGAATTCTGCGTCATTCCTAAGTTAGTTGTTCGATATCAACCACATAGTTTCTCGAGAACACTATTTTTCTAATTACATATAACGCCCCTTGTCGTAACAGAGCCGCAGCATTTTTGAATATAAAATTAGCATGGTTGGCTCTAAACTGTTTTTTTCGGTTGCAACCGATGGACCAGGAAGTGATTCGGTTTTTCAAATGTTCATTCCGGAAATATTTACTGGATTGTCTTTTGTTTGGTCGAAGATGAGCAATTCAACACAAAAGCCGAAATGGACATTCATAGTCATGCATCTGGTCAAAAAAGCTTGGATGCCGGGAATGCGCACTAACTGATCAACGCTTTCACAAAGATTGGAGCCACAACCACACTGAATCAGCTGATAATGCAGCCACTCGAGGATAAACGCTATCTGATCGAAGATTTTACGGATTGTGTCTATTGATGAGCGTTTTGTAGAAGACGAAATCACCTGGATGATGAAGTGGGTTATTCAAAAATGCATCGATTCTCAGTTTTAGATTCTTGATAAAATCGCCTAGAACTAATCGAAACGTCGCACAGGCATGAACCAGCAAATTTACCGACCTTTATCTCAATCAACGAAGTGCAGAAGTTACTGGCTAATACTTGGATTTCGGATCGATTACTGGTGTACAATTGATCTGATTAAACAGTTTATTGGTTTCTAACGGAGAGCCAAGTTAAGACAAACGGCGATTTATGATTTTGCTACAAATAAATCTTTATAATTTAGGCAGGTATTCGCAAAACGGTGGTGATAGTTGAATGATTTTATCCAGGGTTTGCAGTCATTTTTGCGACAGTGGTCACCCATGTCATGACCAGGTTTTTAACCCTGAGATTTTTTTCGGTGATGGGAGCGAATTTCAGTTAAGCGACACTGCGGCATTGACTTAGTTGTGTGAATGGGTGAACGATAATCGGAGGTGTTCTTGCTAGAACACCAATGAAATTGGAAAACTCACTGTCAAAAGTCATCGTAACAGTTATGATATGAGTCTAACGAGCCTCGTACCGTGATCGAGCGATATACTTCTACTTCGTGAATCACGTTATAGGTTCATTTGTTGAGCTTAATCAGTCAACAGGGTCATGACTGATAACGGCAGTATTGATGTCGACCAACGCTGATCATGAAACACGTATCAATCGGTTTCCGAATGCAACACTAAGAACAAAAACATAAATGAACGACTGGATGTAACCAGATTATGGTACACATTTTTCATCTGAAAAGCTTGAATCGATTGAATGACGAACAATGGAAGCTTGGAGTATGGCAAATAAGTTCATGTACTACGCATACCCAAATGTTGCACTTGATTTTCGAATACATGGATTCTCTTGAATGCGATTTTGCCAACAAACCAAGCTTTAAATCACGTAAGTATGACCTGGACTGAATCTTCAACCATGCACTATTTTTGTAACTTCATTATAGCCAAAACCATTGTATTGCTTGGTGGACGCCATGTATTCAATTCTGTGGTGATATAAAGCTGGGCACGTCGCTGCCATTTTGGATTAAGTGTGAGTCGTGTGCATGTCTCACTGAACCTCTTGGTTCATGGTTGTTTTGTATTCNTGCCTGTCTTGCAGATTGGTTGGGAATTCCCCCCCCCCCTTCCACGTAGAACCTGTTGTCCGAGGAGTCGCCTACCCATGCATTGAATGCGTCTGTACTGGGCCGTGTTTACGAGTTGGTTCGATACCTCGGAGAGTTTTGTTTGCGGCATTCTGACAGCGCAATTGGCTCCACAAACTCAGATCGTGTTACCTCCTGCCGTGTATTACGATTCAATGGCAGCCGTGGGCTAAATCCTCCACTTTACAGTGACCTATACGCCAGGACTGAATAGGACAATATTTAGAATTGCATAATCGCTGATTGGGTTAGATAAGTTTCCTTAAGGAAAGGTAATTAGTATCAGCATAGACACTTGGACCTGAAAAAGGGCTGAATGCCGAGTACACTGTTCTAATGTTAGGCTGAGGGCAGAGGGAAAGATTTCCATGTCTTCGACACACAAAGACCGAGTAAGACTGTAAATTTGAACTCTGCTTTGATCAAGCAGTGGATGATAACAAATAATGGGAACATGTAACAGGAGTACCGCAGTATTTACCGATCCTGCTTATTCTGTTACTAATTTCCTAGAGGATTTTTCGTACTACTTAAAAACATATAGTACAGACTAACATGTTATGTCACAGTTTCTTGAATTTCCTGAAGTCTTCGAATTTGCTATAGGTGCGAAATAGCAGGAGAGTAATTGAAGTCATTCTCCAACTATTATATTGCATGGATTTCGAACCAACAACGTCGCATTTCCTATTTGTACAGGAATGGTGGACTCATCTACAATAATTACTGTATAAGACGTTTAGTTGAAAATACTGAGCTCTAGGGTTCTTGAAGGGTTCTTGAAACCTTCCCAATGTGTGTTAAATAACTCAGTCAATTGTTTGTGGTCGTCATACCCGGCCTGGTTACCCAGATCAAAGGGGTTCATTTTTCGGGGATTCAGGCAAAAAGCTCTCGATTAGCCAAAGTCTGACTCGTGAGATAGCGGCGGAAAGTGTGTGTGAAAATGGCAGTCNCAATCGTATCATACACCATTTCATTGTCGCTAATATACGCTTGCTCACTCTGAGGTCGACCGAATGTGGGTAATCAGAACACACAACTGAAATCGGCAAGCGAGAAAGCAAGGTTCAGGGTTGTGCAACCGTGAACTTACACAAGTTTCCGAATCTGCCTTATCGCTCAGGTCGGACAGAGACCATCGGGACCAAGATAGGTTGAGGGGGGGGCTAGTTAGTAAGTCTCTTTCTGGGTGTGGTTTTAAATTGGGTTTTTTCTGCTCCAATGGATGAGCTAGCTACTACTCGCGGTCTATCAAACCGACTATAGGCTTTTGCACGGAAGACGGAACGACATGTGTTGGCCAAAACGGGTTTCAGGTCGAGAACAAAAAAAGCATTGCACGAGATTCTCGGGCGGCAAAGAGAAGGGGGGGAGGCAATCAGGAGGAATTCAGTATAAAACACAGGAGATCCGAATGCTCTTACCTGATTGAGGTAGTTGGAGTTGCGCTGCTGCTGAGGCGGTTGCCGGTGAAACATGTTCACTCCCTGAAACGGTATTGTCGAGTAGGACAGTGAGTGAAATGTGGACTGCGGAGGAGGGGGAGGTATTAGAGATTGTGGCGGTTTGTGCACCCCGACCAGATCTGGAAAATTAAGGGGGTTTGGAGAAAAACAAATAGGATTAATATATATGATGAATTCGTCGTGAGCTGAAAAGCTGGGAAGCACTGGACAGCTGTTTCGACCTGGCTGGGTCTCATCAGCAGTGCGAATCCACAGACAGAATCACACAGACAATGATAGGCTGACTGAGGTGATTTTGACGATCACCGATGATTCGAAGTGTGAAGCGAATCAAAACTAGTTCGTGGTCAGACCCAACGCAGGTAGTTTAATGGGATCTACAAATTTGTACCGAACCACGCCGATTGTAGCTTACAAATACATGGTCAACTTGCCGGTTGCACCAGAACACCATGTAGCCGTTCGACGAGAGCTGTGTCGAAAGTTGGTGCTAGATAAAAACAATCGATGATCCACGCAAAACTGAAGTAGTCAATCACCGTTGTTTGTTCGCTGGGCGGAAAGCGCCCCTAAATAGGCTTCGGATGGGCTGTTTTCCAACCCACGCGTTCAAATCACCTGCCAGAACTATAATATTGGAGCTGCGGTCCAACCGAATGAGTTGGTTGGTGCATATGCCGTTATGATGAAGAAGCAGCTTGTGATGTTGTTTCCCTTCCGAACCTGGAGCCTCATTGTTCACAACGACCATTGACGGGTATTCAGTCCATGATTGAAGGCTAAGCTTTACCGCTTAGTACGATTCCTACATGTAATTGACCCAAAGAGTGCACTTCATCGTCTCCTGATTCGCAAAGGAGTACCTCGAGGACAGACCTGGTGCGCTCAGATGGCTTTTATATATATGAGTGAGTGGTGGTGGTGCAGTGGTTTAGTAGCTGTCACCGGCGTGCCTTGGATCTTGTGGTTCGAACCCCACCACCGCCACCCGACTTTGGTGGTAGGCAGCTTAGCTGTTGCCCGGTCCTATACCACCCCTGACCTATGGGGGCCTTATGNNCTCCAATCCTGGGGCTTAGGTTGCCGGTTACCATCTCTGGACAGCAGATCTTCGTGACTATCGGGTCCGCCCCGACTGCTGTTCATCACACACTGGTGAGTAATAAAAAAAAGAAAACCGTGTACGCTTATCTATTCTATCGTATCACCTATCATGGGCTGTGTGCCGGTAGACGTATGATTTCCCAATTGAAATGATAGTTATTTTTAATACCAACCCAGATGTAGTAGCAGTATGCGATAATGAACAGTAGATAACATGCTCCTTACCGGAGGCCGGGATAGGGTTATCCGCTCGTCTTGGATACGATTCAGAAGGATCATTGAAGCACAAAAGGAGATCAGTGTTCGAACTACTCCAGGTACCATCTCGGGAAGTCGAACTGGATGAACTATTCATTCCCAGGTCAATGAGATCTAAAAACGCGAATTTCGATCGAGTTGGTGAGGAACAGTCAGTTTTACCAGTGTGGGATTTCACTGGAGTTTCGGAAACCGGTACGGTCTCCATGGGTTTGGATTGTGTTGTCGGAATCGGAGGTTGATAAAATTTTCGTTGCTCATATTTGGCACGAATGAAATTTTCCAATGCTGAATCGGACTGAGGTCGAATATAGCTGTCCGGCAGAAGGGCTTCGTATAACCTTCTGGCTCGTGCGTTACAGCCACTATTTACAAAAGTCTGTAGTGAGGAGCAAGGGGAGAAGGGAAAAGCAAGTATGCATTATGTTCATAATGAAAACACACGTTCTACTTTGAGCTGCTCGTTAGTCCAGTTGTCCAGTTGTAGAGACTTCACTTTCGAAATGTGTGTTCCCATTTTCCGATGGATTGCAGCACAACGCATGCAAATGAAGACCCCTAGATTCCACGAGGCCCATCGTGGTTCTAGTGTATACTAATATGTGGATGAGATACGTGCATACCTGAAGTTCCACAGTCCGCACAAAACGAGTTGTTCGGTTCTTGGGCAAGTTTCAACAGAGTTATTCGTGTCACATCCATTAGCAACAGGGTGATTGATCGACAGACAGATAGAGTGACGGACGGGAGGAATCGAAAGTATGTGTTGTCTGCCTGTCACAAATCAACCCTGATACCATAGAATCTGAAATGCGTAGATCAAGGAGAGATTAAGTTTTCGGGATTGAACGATGAGTTGAAAAATACTTATAAGGAGGCACGGCGGTGTACAATTGAGATAATTTAGTTGTTAATTATTTTTGCTGCTCCCAGCTGCTTGGAGCTGACAAACTTGGTTCATGAAGACTAGAAGAGAGACGTATTCAGTGTCACTCGGCTTTTTGTCCGGCGGTGCACCTCTAGCTCTCGGGGACCGAGAGTCCCTAGTTGCGTTGGTATATAGTTGATAGTGGCCTCGTACGAGCCCGTTCGCCAGTAGCCTGATGCGGATTTGGCTCAGGGGTCCATTCATCCGTATGATGCATAAAATATCATGGATCAAGAAGGGCGTAATCCAAAGACCTACTGAGCGCTTTATCTGTATATTAATCACAATACATTGAACGAAATGTAATCGGAGAATGGGGAAATAGAAAAAATACAATGAATATTAACACCACTACCGCGGGTGGTAGAGGTGCCACAACATATGAAGATATGTGAAAACGAGTAAGTCTCGCAACAGGTGTGCCACTGACACCGGTTACCAGCCATGTCTGCTAGTGTTTCAAGCCATAGATGCTATGTCGTTGGGACCCCAATCTGGGATTCAAGAGCATCTTACCACTGCCAGTTTTGAGGTCAACACCTTCATTGTTCTGGCCCAGGTTATTCGTTGTTCACCTTGCCGCCGCTTCCAGTTAGTGTCTGCTTGTGCCAACATAACACGATGGGACAGTTGTTGAGTCGGAATCCGCAACACATGTCCCAGCCATCGAAGTCTCTGGGGCGAGGTGACGGCACTCAGAGGACGACTGAGATTATCTGCGGTGAATATTCTTCGGCGAACCTCGTCGTTAGTGATTCGCTGTTGCTAACGTACTCTGGTGATGTAACGAAGGCAACCGTAGTCAGGGACACTTAATCTCCGTATGTCTTCTGCGTGGAGGGGCCAACTCTTGCAGCTACAGAACAGGACAGAGCATATAGTGGCATTGTAAACGCGGCCTTTCAAGGAGAGACTGAGATCGCGTCGGCGCCAAAAGTGACGCAGTTTGACGAAAGCTGCTCGAGCCTTGCGGATACGCGTTGATATGTTTCCCGTCAGTCTTACTGAGCTGAAACAACTCCTGAGATAAGTAAAGTGTGATCGACGATTTCCAATTGATCGTTCATGAGCGTGAGGATAGGTGCAGCCTCTTGCCAGTCTTGTAGTAAAACCTTACGTTTTGATGGAGAAAATGTCATACCAAACTGCGTGACAGACAGTGCTGTTACATAGAACGTTTTGAACGTCCTGGGAGGAGTCACAGAGTATAACGAAGTCATCAACATATTCCAAGTCACGGAGTCGATCACCTAGGAGGAGCAACACACCGAAATCACCGCAGTTTTCTAGCGAGCCGCTTATGATTTTGTCTACTGCGAAGTTAAAGAGGAGGGGCGAAGCTAGGCAACCTTGTCGAACTCCGCCTATGATGATAAATGAAGGGGAAATGCGATCATAGATTTTGACGCAGCCTGATATGTTTGAATAGACGGCTTTGAGAAGGTTTACATACTTTTCAGGCACACTGCTTCCTACCAGACAAGTCTAGAGAGCTGCTTTGTCAAGTGAGTCAAACGCGGCACGTACGTCCAAAAAGACAACGATGGTCAATCTACTGAACGTTGGACGTTGCTCGAGGATGAGGTAGCGCAAATATGTGATCAACGCAGCCCCGGCCAGGGCGGAATCCAGCTTGTTCTTCGCGGATATGACGCTCTCTCATCCAACTGAGCCTGCGAAGGATCAACGACATTAACATCTTGAATGCAACGGAGATGAAACTAATTCCTCGGTGATTGGAGCAATCGTGGCGGGGACCCTTATTGAAAATAGGTACGACGTCCACCAGACTCCATTCGGATGGAATAGATTCAGTATTCTAGATGGTTTGGAGTAAGGAAGTTAGTTCTCGTACAAAGCTTGCATCATTGCCTTTGAAAAGGGTAGGAGGGAGCTCACCTGAATCGGGCGATTTGTGGTGTTTCAGAAGTTTGAGCTCTCGAGAGATTTCTTCCTCGGTAGGCGATGAAATGTCCACAGACCATGGAGCACTACAGAAATCAGGAGATGGAGGTGATAATGTCGATGGCCAACTGAATTGTTGATTGAAGTTTTCCGCCCAGCGCCCAAGCCGACGTAGATTGAATACATTCGCCACTAGTTTCGCATATGGTTTGACTGACGCATGTCTTTTTGCTACCGGCAGCTCGGATTTTTCGAAAAGGTTTGTGGACATTACCGGAATCAGAGGCTAGTTCCATCTCGGAAGTGCGTTGTGTTCACCGTTTTAGTTCAGCACTGAGAGTCCTGTTAACTGTGGTGTATTCATTACTTGGAGTGCCCATCAATTCTACAGAAAGTGCCGAAACCCAGTGATTGACTTTACGCTTGGTGAAGCCACCTGCTGTGATGGCAGACTTAGGCATGGCGTTACGGATGAGTCCACTGGTTATAGATGTTCGAAGATGACAGACCGTGTAGATCAGCAGCTAACTTGTTTTGGTAGGCAGTAACTACGTTTGGGTCAGTCAGTTTCATCAAATCGAGTCTTCTCGGGTAATGTTGCCGTTTTCCATCAAAGCGCAGAGAGAATTTCGTGTACACGAGTGCATGATCAGATCTGTAACATGTGCTCCAGATGGATTCGCAGTCCGCTATGCAACTTCTCCATCGATAGCTGATGGCAATCTGGTCTATTTGAGTCCAGAACTGACCAGATGATGGAGGTCGCCAGCTTTCAGCTTCTACAACCATTAATCATGCACCATTGTGCGTCGGTACTGGTTGCTGTCTTTTGGCTGCCCATTTGGATGAACATGAGGAGAAAGACCAAAAAGGTTGGAAATATGGTAAAAGAGAAAATTAAGGATTCCATTGCACTAATTTTGCAGAGAGAGATGCACGAACGCTACTGTTTACGACACCCAACCACATCACTCAGTGTCTCTAACCATCGGTTACGGTCATTTCGAGGTCCCCATACAGGGAGCCTAACGGGACCTACGGGACCCAGACTCCTGGTTAGGGTTTTCATACCCTCATGTTAGGTCTTAGCTTGACCACCCAAATAACAAAACTTATCCACATGCTGTATCACTTCCCCAGTTAGAGTGAAGCTGGGTGCTGGACCAATCCTGTCTTGTAGCAACATTTTACAATTTCAAGGTGCAAAACGCATACTGAACATCGCTACACTAGCATTCAAGCTATCCAGAAAAGCTTGTAAATCGCCTGGGTCTTCACTTAGCAGCACAATGTCGTCCACATACTCCAGATCAGACAGTTTGCCTCCTGGGAGTAAATCGATGCCAGTATCCTCGCACGAGGATAGGGCTGTTTCCACAATCAGATCGATAACAAAGTTAAATCGAAAAGCAGAGCGAGGGCAACCCTGAACAACACCACTTTCCGTGGTGAACTCGGGCTAAAATGTGCCGTAAGCTCGGACTCGACTTCGGCTATTAGTATAGTAGTATAGTACTGTAATATTGAAATTAACTTCCCGGGCACACCTTTCAGAGAAAGGCAGTGCCACAGTTCAGAGCAGTCGACTGAGTTGAAAGCCGCTTTCAGATCCAGGAAGACAGAGATGGTGGGTCTACGAAAAGAATTTCGGTGCTCCAGAGTTTGGTGAAGAGTGAAGATGTGGTCGATACAACCTCGGCCAGGTCTAAAGTCAGCCTGGTTCTCACGCGAGCACCGTTCAGGTGCAACACACAATCGACGGAGTACGACGCCAGTGAGAAGTTTAGAGACGATATTGATTAAACTAATTCCTGTGGTTTTCACAAGAGGACCTGTTGTCTTTTTTGTAAATCGGTATGATCACCGATTCACACCATTCAGTTGGAACCTGTTCTCTCTCCCACACTGAGCCCAGTAGTTTTGTTAACTCCAAAACCAAGGCTGAGTCTCCATCCTTAAAATCCGATAGGGATAGCCGGTCTGGGCCGGAGGCCTTACGCCTTTTGAGGTAGCTTAGTTCCTGGGAAACCTCCATTTCAGACAGAGAACTGGCATCAAATGGGAGTATTTGTCCCGTCGAGGTGGAGGGTGATAAATCAGATGTCGATGGGAGTCAGTTGAACTGAGCCTTTAAATGTTCAGCCGAACGGTCAAGACGGCGTTGCTAATGGTGAATCAGTGTGCCATCGGATTCCTTAATTACCTCACTTATGCCTATTTTCCTAGGGCCCGTATTCCTAATTAGACGGAAAAGATTGCGACTATTACCAATAGCCACAGCCTTCTCCATCTCTCTACACTTTCCTATCCACCACTTCTCGCGGTCATTCCTCAAACTCTTGATGAGCTGGCGGGAGTTGCACTCTGTGCCATATGTGGCATCCGAAGGGAGGGTTCAGCGGGCGTCCAGCAGGGCAGTCGAGGTCGACGAGTCATCGTTTGTGTTTGGATGTTGCGGCGGGGTGAGACATGATTTTATCAATACTTGCATAGATTCATTGATTTGCTTCCAGTGTTCATTGAGTCCTTCTGCTGGAGATTGAGGTGATAGTCGATCGGAGAGTTCCGTTTCGAATACCAACTTGCAACAATCGCTGATGCTGTATCGTGTGTATCCGTTGTCGGTGGCTTTTTTGCGGTTGTTTGCCAGGTGTAAGGAGAATTTCGCTCGCAGCACAGCGTGGTCAGCATCCACAGGTATTGACCAGTAAGAATGACAGTCTTGAAATGACCCCCTCCAGCGGTAACTGATGATGTGGTCAATCGGGGTCCAGCGCAGTGAGGAGATTGGCGGTTTCTAGGCGGTATCGTTTCTTGTGCGAGAAGTTCGTGTTTGACAGGAACAATCCGTGGTCTGCGCAGAGTTGAA